ATTTTGGATCATTAATAAGCGAACCGCATAAATAATAAATCGAATTTTTTTTTCCAAGTCATCACATTCGTTGCCGAACTTAATGGCATTCTAAATGTCTGAATGAAAATGATCGGTTTTGAATAAATTCGTTGAAATGCGTATCACGTTACGCTTTAATTAACGAATAAAACTAAATTTCATGCGGTTCGTATTGCACGTGATACAACATGATATTGACAACAATTAATCACCAATTGATTCGCAACGCTACGTTTCGCATGGAATTGATATCAACATGAATTCAATCAACGCAAATCGATTGCCGGCACTGCAAATTTCTCATAAAAACACTGCCAAGGACATCATGAAAAATAGTTTAAAATTAATCAAAAAAAAATTATTTTATTTCCAACGGAAAACGATTCAAAACGATTCAAAACGAAGCAAAATTTTCTAATAAGCATTTTGCACGGAATTAACAAGAATGATAATAATTATTGTGCTAACGTTTATTGCCATAATTGAGCAAGTGAGCGGAATTTGAGAGCAAAAAAGAAAAAAACGATCATTTATCATCTTTCATCGCAAATATGTGTTTTCATATTTGCGGAATGTGGTGCGGTTTGGGCGATCACTTGATGAAACCATACAGCAAACAAATCAACTTAAATAAATGCCGTCGTGCAGGCAATCAATTGCGATATCACATACTTTCAATTATTCCTTTTGCATTAGGCGCGCCATTTACTTGGCTTTTATTGAAATGGTGAGTGGTAACGAAAAAAAAACGGCATTTGATCGCTAACGGTCATTTCTCAAAATAATTAAAGCAAAACTCGTTCATTTCAATTGCAGCAAAAATTTTAATCAACACTGTTAACCATATATAATCATTAATATATGCAATTTGCTGGTATTTTATCGTCATTAATGAATTCGATTAAATTTAACAAATTGTTGGACTTTTTCGATTTTATAAACGTTGTTGATTGATTATTCGTTTCGATTAGAATCAAATCTCTAGATATATCTCATTTTCACTTTCATTTTGATCCGTTTTTTGAATAAGAAGAAAGTGCATCATCTCGTTTAAAACAAACAAGAAAAATGTTAAGTCGACATATCGAAGCGCCGTTGATTCGATATGATGAGAAATACTTCGTAGCTCATGTAGTCTAACTTAAGGGGTTTTCGATATTATTTCGATGTGAAGTTATAAGGTTTTTTTTTAAATGATACACCAATTAATTCTTTCATATTTTATCATCCAAAAACAGATCTCGTGAACTCATCAAATCGGCAATTTTGGACAATGATTTCATGAAAAATTTGGATATGAATCAAATTCGCGAAATTGTCGATTGCATGTATCCGGTTCAATATGCTGCCAAGAGTTTGATCATCAAAGAGGGTGATGTTGGAAGCATCGTTTATGTTATGGAAGGTGAGTTTCTTTGATCTTTTTTTTCTCGAATTTTTAAAACTTAAGAGTAGAATTTTTGATAAAATTTCTATTTGCGTACATTTCAACATTAAAGAAATTGTTTCGTCAATGAATTTTGTATCTTTCTCATGTTTAAATGCGGCATCCAGTTATTAATTATATCAGATCGATAATTTTAGATCCATTTCAAAAATTCTGCTTGAGAGTCTGAGAACTAGTGTAAGACTGTTTTCTTTTTTTCTTCAACAAACATCAGTAGTTCCGATAAATCCCAAACAATACACCACGTTTGATTGAAGTAATTCTAGCATCGATTACACTTGCTTGAGAAAGTACAATTGCACAGAGTTAAATAAAGAATTATGGCAAAGCAAAACATTTGCATAAAATCATAAATGTATAATTTTCAGTTGTTGCCATAACTGTTCCGCCTTATGTTTTCTTTATGTAAATCGTAAAATGTTTGCTGGCGTTCGATAACGAATGGAATTTAGACTTCAGAAGCCTATTAATTACAAATAAAAATTTCGAGTATTTTCAGTGCATGAAAAAAAACCGCACGTAACCGGATTGTGTGTGTTTTTTGTGCTTATGCAAAAACCAAAAAAAGAGAAGATTCTGTATGTGTTTTAATGATAAAAAGGTGAGGCTGTTTTGCATAAATCGTATGGCACACAATGTGCGAGGCGATGTGCACTCCATGACGATGATGTATGGTATATAATGAACGTAAAATCATATGCACACACACATTCACATCGCGTAAATTATGCGGTTTTGTGAATCCGAAAACGAAATCTGCGTGCATTGACGCGTCATGTTTGGATGGAATATACCATTCGTAATTCTTCATGGATTTTAATGCACGTTTTGGTTGTTGCGTTGTTTTCTTCACTTCATTATTATTTGTGTGTCTATTTAGCTTTTTCTGCTGCATTGATTAATCGGGCTATTCTTTTCTTTTGTTTGTATGCTAAGTTGATGGGGCCTTTTTTTCTCGGTGTAACTGTCAGATGGATGGAAAGTTGCATTTTCTAGTGAAATATATAAAAATAAAATGCATTTTGTTATGATGTACCACATCTTAATGTTAGCAATAAAGTGAATCGAACAAGTCAACTGAATAAGTTAAATTTATTTGCTATTCGCTTTCCGGCGTACACCGATCCATTGCAACAACAAACGGCTGTTATGTTCGCTTTTTTTCTGTTTAAATATGCTTTTCTTCTCTTTCTTGATGCGCTTTTATTATCTAAATGACTTTTTCTTTATTTCACCGCATCACGGAAAGGTGAATGTAAAATGCAAATAATCTTACGGATTGCATTAATTCAATTAAAGATAAATCGTCGAAAAAAAAAACATTTATTGGGAAAGAGAAAGAATAAGAAAGAGAAATAGACAGTGAGAGAGCGAACACGAGAAACGCAATACAGCAATAATGCAATCGTACTAAACCAATTCAAGTGTTTGTATGTGAAAAACGTACCGCAACAGGTTAAACGTCTGCAATAAAGTGGCAATCAATTATGTGTATTTTTTTTCTCTACTTGAAAAAGGAAAAAAACTCCACATCACACACATGCGGTCTTGAAATGTTCACATCGTTCAATCGTCCAAGTGAAGCATTTATCTGTGTCAAAGAAAGCAGTCAAGCTATTTATCGACACGATTGATTTGATTATGATAGCAGCGTCAGTGAAACCGTAAAAGGAAATTTGACGCATAGCGACAATGTTCAACGTTTCTTCTCTCTTTCAAATCAATGTGATTGTTGCATTTAACTCGCACCAAATAGACCGAACGATTTGATTGAACGCATTTGTATTAAAATCAAGTACAATACGATCACGATGACCAATAAATCTAGCCAAATTAGAAAATACCATGAACCCAACACAATCTTCAATGACCGGCCATTGAAAATCACGATAGTTTCTTTTTTTCCGCTGAAATTCAGCCTAAAGCAATCGTAAACTACCAACCATCGCAACTATGAGAGTGATGAATTTCTGCAGCCATCAAGATTGATTATTATTACCAAATACAAACAGCCCGACAGAGTCCAACCATAATGTTCAGTGAATGTTATGTGAATTTGAATGCAGTTCAACTTGTTTTATGTGCGTCGTCATTACACGTGTTTGTTTGTGTTTGTTTTTGTGTGTGTCTATGTGTGATTTGTGACCGTGTTGCTTGATTTTCGAACTCGAATCGGCATTCAAGACTCTCTATGTGCATTTTTGATCTCTAACAAAAATTCCAGTTTGTCAAACAAGATAAAGTTGCATTACTTTCGCTTTTCGGTTGTTGTGAACATCTTCAGATGTAGTTGGCCGCAGTGTAGACTTTTGTAAAATGTTTTTTTTTTTTTGTTTTTCATTTCTTTGGCGCATCGTGTGCGCGCGAATACTGTGGCAAGTGAACTGGGTGATAAAAATAACACCATACGGTAGAAAACCTGTTCTTGGGTCGAGCGGTTATTGAATGCACACACGAAACCACTTAATTTATCACTTGGCCGGTTAGATATTATTATTCTATAATAGCATTATGGTAATTGCCGATGGAAAAATGAAAAGATGTGCACCATCACGTGGAGTTTCTTGTACAAGTTGAGTGCCTCTGCATAAATTATGATTGGAAGCAAAAGAAAAGGGGATAAAAATTGAAAGTGACAAAGACTAGACGAAAATGAAAAAAAAAAAAAAAAAATTTCACTTCAAAACACTTGTCTCCTCACATGTTGTTTAAGACATGGAATTTACAACTTTCAAATCAATTCCTTTTTAAAACGAAATTGATCGCTTCTGATTAAACTATGTGTGTCCCCGTCAATTGCGTATGTGATTACAATGTAAATTTCAATAAACGTTTCTTTCTAACTTATTGAACTTTGAATCGAATCAATTCAAGTGCACGATACAATGATACATTCACCTTTTTTTTGTGAAACGATTCCAATGGCAGTATTATATAGATTTATTTATTTAATTGATGATCGAAATACGTTCACGCATTCATTGATCGACTCCGAACCTTACATACATAGTGTATGGTATACATGTACATTTTGGCGATGCATTTCTCTTGTCAGACATCGAAACTCGATTTATTTTTACACTGTGTTCCAATATACAGAAAGAGCAGAAGCACAATTTGTGCATACACGATATTTCGCACATTGAACTCAATACCATATGTTTTTTTTCGCAATAGCCGCACACACCAACACCATCGTCCATAGCAAAAGATTATCGGGACAGCATCAAGAAAGAGAGCGAATGTATTGGTGAACCAACAAGCCCATTCCAATAGTCGAATAGAGAGAGCATTGTTGTGTGACCATGGTTCTCTTTTACCTTCTTTCACTCTTTTGCACACACTCTCACTGCCATTCCGTTTCTCACTCTTTGTCTTTCAGTTCTACGTCGACCGAATGTAAAGAGAGCGATCGATGCGAAACTTGTATGGGTACGTATATATGTGTGTGTGTGTGTGATTTGAGTATTGAGAGCATGTTCAATGTGCTGTTTATTCATTCGGCGATTTCTTTAGTCGTGCTTTGCACGTCAAGCACACAACGCGCACATTGCCTGATCATACTCTTGTTCTTTTATTTCGATCGACGAAAATATTTGTTCGCTATTTACTTTTTGTGGCTATATTTATTGATTGATTTTTGTGATTACATTGTGTCGAGGGTTATTTTTAGTGTAGTCGAAATAAAGTGATAAAGCTGAGAGTGTTGTACGTTACGGAAACCTTTTTTCATCATTCGACAGAAGTTCATCGGCCAACCAAAACAACAGATCAGCTTTCTTATTTTTTTTTTTTTTGTTAAGCGCATTTATGCATTTTATGCGAATATATCGAAAAACCTGATCGAACATTCAATTGCATACAGCAGCAACGAAAAATAAAAATAAAATAAAATAAAATTTATTTCAAGGAGCAACAATAACAATAACAGAAGAAAACGGAGTCTGATCTTGTGAGCGCGCCCGCACATTGCACATTATTCATATACAAGTGAATGTGTTCTGTGTTGTGTTTTATGTGCGTGATTGAATGTTTGAAAAAAAAAAGATTGTGTACTTTTTGTGTGACGAAGGCGTGGAGCTGTTTCACATTCGGAATATTTTTGAGTTCTTTTTTCCTCTTTTCATCATTTTAGAAAGAGAGAAATAGCATGCAATGAACTAAGCACCGATGAAGAACTATTTTAAATGGCAAAAACGTTCAAACGACATGACAACTTGCTAAAACATAGCGAAAAAGAAACAAACAAACGAGCAAAAATAAACAAAATAAACCAGAAATCATATCGATTTTAAAATTTACTCGTTTCTTCATCCATATACACTGGTGAGCCATATTCGTGCATCTGTCGTCTTGGTGTGCACATTTTGTTCGGTGCTGTTTTTAGTGCATGTAACAACAGCTCTCAGTACTAAATGTCTTCACAAACATGAAAATGAATATGAGAGTATGTATATGTGTGTGTTTATATTAACTGGTGGAGTGTAAATAATGTATAACGAAATGTCAGAGATCAACGATTTTTATTGAAACAAACTGAGATAATAATGCTATGAACATTTTTTTCGGCTTTGAATATTCTCTGTTGCTTCGTTCATATTCTCAGTCTCTAAGCTGGAATATCACGTGAATTAAGTTTCGATTACTTTCGTTTTTAATCAACGTACACAAGCATTCAACTCTGAACTCATCTATCAAAAACAAAATGAGAATTTAATTTTCGAAATTAATACTCGTACCATCAGCATATTTGAAACACAATTTGATTGTGAAATTAAATGAACTTCACCAAAAGAAGTGTGAAAATTAAAGTGTGTGTTCTTGCGCAATAATTGGAATTTTGGGTGTTGTTTTTCTTCATTTAATTAAACACGTAAAAGAAGTTTTTAAGCGAAAATGCGTATTTGTCATTATCCGGGTCGTGTTGTTGACGCAACATTGTCGCTCGATCAGAAGAGTCCGATGGAAATGTTGTATCAAAATAATTGGTTAAATGCTGATAAAACGATTAAAACCATCGGCCGAAATTCGGCGGCTGTACAAAATGGACGATTTTTGGCAAATAATTTAACAACACCATCACCGAATAGCCAGTACCGAAGTGAACCACTTGATCGTAAATATTTTAGTCAATCATCTGGATCGTTGAGTGCACCGCACAGTTCGTCGGACGATGAAAATCGACGAAGTAGCATTTCATCGTTGGGACGATATCAAGTTACACTGGAAGAAATGCAAAAATTAGATTTAAATCAATCGAATGAATTATTTCGAAAGACAATGCGCAATTTAAACGGTTACAAACCGTCGACCATACGTCAGAAGCATCGACGTAACTATGATGGCTGGGATGAATTGAAAGAGAAAGTAATCGATGAAGAGTCAAAAAATAATAATGGCAATTGTAATTGGCAATCAAATGGCTATAAATATGATGCGGTCAAAAGTGATCAAGTAATTTTAATACCGAAAATTAAGCGATCACAAACGATGCGATACACAACATCGTCGAATGGCAACAGTAAGCCAAACACCATGAACATTCGACATGTATTCAATCAACAACAGCCGCCGCAGCAGAAACAACAAAAACCAGAACCGGAAAAAATTGCGAAAATGCCAACAGCCACGATAAACAAGAATTTTAATCGATTCAAACGAAACAATTTGCTAGCCATTCAAAATGGCAGCACCGTCGACGAGACGATGACAAAATCAACAAAACAGAACGATCATTCGGCGATGAACGATGGTGGTAAGAATCGAAACGGCAACGAGTTCATAATTCCAAGCAATTTTTCACAATTCACAATGAAATCGAATGGAAACATAAGAACCGAACAAAAACCAAATGGAACATGTGATAATGATGGATCGAATGGTAAACCGAAGAAAAAACCATTGTTTCGTGCGAAAAGTGTTCGCATAAATCCGACACCATTGCAAGATATCTATTTTGAGCGAATGCATACCGGCAATGGATACAATGAAACAAATGGCATTCCAACAAACAATTGTGATAAGCGACAGAGTAATGGCTTTGATGAGTCGGTGAATTTGCCGTCGCTACAGCAGCAGCAACAACAACAACAGAAATTGCCCCGGCTTACATCAATCATGAAAAAGAAACCAATTGTGATACCAGCACAACCTTCATCTTCGCCCGAACAAATAAAACAAGATAAAATGATGCTCGATCAATGGTTCAACTATCAACAACAGAAAACGAGCAACAATCCAACAAATGAGAGTAATAACAAACACCAAAACCGAAACGTAAATACAATCACAGAAGAGAAACATTCATCGACATCGTCGTTGTCGTCAATATCGAGCAGCTGTGGCGGTGATGGTAATTCGAACGTTTCCGATTTTAGTATACCACGACCAAGACTCATTGTGCCAGTGCATACATATGCACGTAAACGGCGTACGGGAAATTTGATCCAAAATCCAACAGGTGATCGTGTCGATGATGACGGCGGTGCCGTTGTTATTGAACAACCTCGTAATTCGAGAAGCAGGAAAAATGGTAAGAGAACTTCATTTGTGATCGATTAACTAATCGATCGATTTTTCGCAACGATTGTCCTTCATGGAAATGCAAAATCAACTTCGACACACTCATGTCTCAAAGCACTAAATGCAAATTCAACCATAAACACACTACGAAAAAAAATCAATTTTGATTCGATTGTGATAAGTTTTTCTTTTTTATATTCTCTTTTTTTCGTTGTCATTGATTTAAAAGTTCCGTGAGCTCCATGCGGTGAATAATCGTTGAACCAATGCAAATACGAAACACCTTAAAAAAACAAACTTTGAAACACACCAATCTATTTATATTATTAAACAGAATGTGTAATACATTGAAAGTGCGAAACTGAAACAAGAAATTACGTCATTTAATGATTTAATTTAATTCAATTTCTGTGCAAGGCGAAATGAGTAATCGCAAGTTAGGCAAACTCATAAAGTCCACCGCACTGCGTGTTGTTTTTGCCATTGCTGTTGGTGCGCGAATTTATTTGGTTGTGGTCTGTAGCATTTCTATGACACTTAACAGCTTGTAATGTATTATATGCCCACTAATAATATGTTTAACACTCGAAATTGACCAACTTGATCCGGCAGCGTAACATACACCAAGCCAAGACAAATTTGATTCATCTTGCCTTCTATATACTTTACTGTTTTGTACTTTTAAAAGATCTCTCGCTCGCTCTATCTCTCTCTCTCTCTCTCGCACGCTCTCCGATTTCACATGACCGTACCGTGCAAGACAATACTTTGTGTCTTGGCGAAGGTTATATGATTAATTTATTTATGCATAAATAAGCAATTTTACGAATACACTGTAAATGAAACCGGCTGATATTTGAAATGAAACCAGAACGGAATAGACAGACAAAATCAGCAATAATCAAGCAAAATCACCCATTCTCTCACCCGTTTGCATGAAAAATTCATGTCGCGCATATTTCTCTCTCTCTCTCTCTCTCTCTCTCTCTCTCTCTCTATCGTCTTTCAACAAAGAAACAGTGTTGTTGTCGATAAAAGCACGACCGACACTAAACTATTGCATTTGGAAGCGGTTTTTGTGTGAACGAAATAAAAATTTCTTAATAAACTCGTTTTCTTCAAATCAATTCAACTTGTCTCTTTAGAAATATAGCCAAATTCTTCTTTTTCCGTAAATGTATACATTTGCATACGCGTTTTACATTTCCATTCGCCCATTTTTTGTTTCTTTCAAATGTTCACATGTGTTTTTTTCTATTTGAAAATTCATTCTTCTCTTTTTTTCATTCCGCTGACCAATTCACATTCGACTTTTCATTCTGACTGAATGTTTCGTTCTTTTTTCTGTATTCGAATTAACACACAATTTGCTATATTTATAAATATGTGATGCATAAAAGCACCACATGTTCCGTTATCATTTGACACACATATAGAGAACATTTCTCTGTGGAATTGTTGAATATTCATTTCTATAAATATATTGCACATCGATTGCATCCTTAACCCAGAAACACGCCGATGCATAACAATCGATTGCGATCTTTACACTGCAACACACAGAATGACGCATTCATTCTCTACATATTGGCAGACAAAATTACCGTCGATCTTCACACACACTAGTAATCATTTCGTCGAAATATGTTTCACTGAAAAATAAACAATTCAACAACGCCATTGTCACTGGACGTTATTTATCAATTTAAAAATCAGTCTGTCATTTCTTCATTTTGAACATTTATTTCATGTAAATAATATGCAAAATCACCCTTGTGAGAAAGGAAAAAAATGACCGACTACTTCGACCGATGACAACAAACATTTCTTTGCATTCAAAATAATAAACAAGATCGCAAATGTATTTCGAAATATCAGTGAGAGAAAGACCAGTGTAAATGGAAATGCGTGTATTTTAATCGACGGTTTAATAAGAAGAGAAAATGCTTGTATCAATCGTAAAGAGAAACGAAAATTAAACTCTAATGATCGAAATTGCGGAAAGTGTATTTATTTACAAAGAGTAAAAAACCATTAGTGTAAATAAAAAAAGACAAAAACGAAAGACGGAAATCGAACGTAATCTTCTCGTAATTGTTTCTTTCTATGTAATTGTTGTTGTTTTTCTATTCAAATATTTGTCTCTCGCAAGCGAATGATATAGAAAATGCCAGAGCGAAAAATACAAAATCTAATTAATAACATATTTGTCTTAGCGTGTTTGGTTGGTGTCGGAACAACAAAGAGTTCGGTTCATTCGCGCTGAATTTATGTAATATGCCAATAAGTGTAAATATATTTTGTAAGCCCAAACTGAACCACAATTTCTACACTGTTTTCATTTCAAGTAGACAATACACGCACATGATCCAATTGAATTTTAGTTATACCGAGATCCAGTGAATGTAGTCAATATTGTGGCAATTGAAAAAAAAACTATTCAATGTGGTTTTTTGTGTAGAAATCGTGTACAAAACGAATGCAAATGGAGTAGGCTTCATTTAGACTGAAGCATGTATGGTTAAAACATAATATTTGGCTGTCAAAAATTTGTATAACAAATTCACCCGTTTAAAAGTATTTTATTTCTCTCAAATTAACAGTTACACACATGTGAATGTGGATCAATGCGATTTGAAAACAATTTTGTGACACTTTCTCAGTGGTAACTCTTTTTTATTCTAACCGAATTCAGTTAATGGGTAATCGAATTTCGCATGAAACTTTCAATATGATACAGTTTATTTTTGGATGTTTAAAGCGATTATGCTTCCAATATAGCGGTTTCAATGTTTACTTTTTGTTGCCCAATTACACATATATGCAAAATGATTTATGTTCCTCTTTCTGTGTGTTTTTTTTTCTTGATTGCTCAAGATGCGAAAGCCAACGACGATCAATTTTGATACGAAACACACAGAAAAAATTATGCTCTGGCTGCCATGGATTTTGCAATGTGAATTATGTGGAAAGGAGAAAAAATGCGACAATTTACGATTTCCTTGCTTGCAACAGAAATAAAAACCAGCTGGAGCAAAATGATGTATTGTATCAGTGATACTTGTGAAACTGTCTTCTTCGTCTTATTTTCTTTCATCTAAATGTTGTTGTGTGGCCCGTATTTGCCATAAGTGATGCGCGCACGATCCATTGTTATGCGATTCATCGATCTGTGAACAATATTCGCTATTTAAATTCATGCATATGAAGCGTGCTGTGTTTTCAAGAAATCGTGTCATGTGACGTTCGATTTTAGTATTGTTTCTTTTCAGCACCAGCACACATCATACTAAAAATATACACACACAACTTTTCGGATCGCTTAAGAAAGGAATGAATAGAGCTACAAAAATTGACTACATTCTAAATTTTGTTCGCGATCCAAGCAGGCGAGACTGATTGAAAAGAATTCTTTTTTTTCTCTATAGTGTATGGTTTTTTTTTTTGCTCGAATTGTAGAATCGATTTGGCACCAAATGACATTGATATTTGTCGGAAAATAATCCACAGTTTAATGCATTTGAAAAGCCAACAAAATTCGACCAAAAGTAAACGGTATTCACAGCGGTCTAGTTCAGCATTAGTTAAACTAATTTACTTGTCATCCAAATGGGCATTGAACTAATGTTGTGTATGACCTTCCATTGTTGCCGCGATTTCTAAGTGATTGCTTTTTTGTTTCAAGTCGAAAAGATTCAAGCAATATATCAATCATTTCAAATTCGATTCGTTTGTTCCCCCCCTCAGCAAAAAGAAGTGAACGAATTTAAAAGCAACGCATGTTCTTGACCATTTTTATGCGAATTCGTTAAGAAACTATTCAAGATTAAGCGATTGCAAAAAATCGTTTTTTTTTTTATTCAGTCAATGCAAGCACATTTTTATTGAGTGATTTAAAGAGCATTCATACATTGAGCGGCACTCAATTTTGTACACACTCTCAAGCATTTAGTCTACTTTTGATGGGAAAAATGTAATGGCTAACGTTTAGCAAACAGAAAAAAGAAACCGATGTTACACGTGAATAAAACGGTTTTTCTCATGCAACAACATGTTTACGTGTGTATTTTTTTTGAAATGGTTTTGTGTCCGTGAACGACATTGTTGTTCGCATATTTTGCTGGCTCTCTTTTTCTCTGGTTTGTGCGTCGTCGTCGTCGATGAAATTCACTTCAGAGTGTTGCCTAAAAATGAATTTTGTTGTCGAAAATAAATTACGTGGTCATGTTCATGACTCAATGGTTGCTGCCCATGTGTTGAAGAAGAGTAATTGAAACAAAAATGTGAATGTTAAGCCATGCGAATGATTTCATGAAAAAACTGCCTGTGTAGGCTCAGTAGGCAATTTTTTCTCGATCGATTGGCAAAACTTTGTGCAATAATTGCCATAATATTCAGGTTGGTCCGAATAGCATATCACCGACGATCAATCTGAATCATTTTAAAACTCTTTGCATCGTCCCATAAATGATCAACTAAAACATTCCACATTTTCAGTGCATTACTTTTTGTTTCGTCTATTGCAATCGCATTTCAAAACACATTCATTTGTTTCCTCTTTGCGTCAGTCGCTTCTGTTGGATGTTTTTTTTTTCATTCCATTTCTCTCGAACTCTCCCATTAATTAGATTTGTCGCATCAACCTGTTGTGTGATTGTTTAGATGACTTGTTTGTGTTGACAAATGTGTTTTGTTTCACCATTCATGTCTCGTGTTGACTAATTGTAACTAGTTTATCACACATTGTCACGTACTTGGTCGACGGTCGGCATTGTCACATTTTCATTGTTGCGTTGGCTGTGCCGTGCAAATGACAACGGCCAAGCCGCATAAATTGCACAAAATCAAATCAATTGCGAGAAAGCGTTATCGCCCATAAATTGAGAGTGGCCGCATTCAATCTTATTGTTAGTTGACTTTGATTCGATTCTTTTTTTCTTCGCTCATTCTTTCGACATTTTTAGATTAAGAGAATGTGACAAGAATGGCGCGCAAATTATCCGGTTGAGTATATGGAACACATTGATTGTGCGACGGTGATGACCGTATCACAAAAGATGTACAAAAAAATGTACTTTTCAATCTCATTTCTTCAAGAATGTGAAATCGACACACACACTCACGACTTTTCCAGATTGGCTCAACTTCATCTCAGATTAGCGCAACGTATAAGCAAACGATTTTCATTGGACCTGTGAGTTAGGTTCGACAGAAAAAGCACAATGTCTATATTTATAATTGCAAAAAAATGTAATATGAACTGCTTTGATCAAAACGATCGTCTGTTGTTGTTTTTTTCTTCTCATTGTTGCAATCACGCAAAAGCTCTCTTTCTCCTCTATTTGGATGTGTCACGCGACAAACGTTTTCACTGCGCTTTCTTTTAGCCGAATTCGATCTCGCCCAGCGCCGATTGCACATGCTAGTCTACCGACATTTGTGGGTTCGTCTCTTATTGTTGTTGTTTCTTCTTTAATTCAATCGCTTGATTGCTTACAGCACAAAAAAAGAGAATTAACACATGAAATCAATCACACACTGCAATCGAGTAAAAATAATATGTCTTAATTTCACCAGAGCAAAATGGAACTGACCGAAACCATTCTGTATGCATACATATTATGTATATAAAATGAATCAATGTTTATTTTTAACTGGACGGTAAAAAGAAGTATTTTTTGCTTTTTTTATACATTCATTGTTAATTTTGGCACTTTCATTTTTTTTTTCGGTTTCCAAATGTTGATTAATATCATCAAAAATGGCAAATGTGTTCAAATGAAAACATAACACCCATTGTAATAATGTGTATACTATAGCGAAAGGTTGGAAAAACAACGCATTATGTTTTCTCGTTTACAACGAAACAACATTTATTGGCCAAAAGAATGTACATCAGAAGTCGAACATACACACATTTGTTTATGTGTGAAGGAAAACAAATTTGAGAGAGTAGCCGAGAAGACAATGCAAAATAACAATGTGTATATGGAGGTAAAAGGTATGCGTTGAGCAAGAATCGAGCGCGCGATATATTTTTGTTTTGTAAAAAAAACGGTGTAAATGACGATAATATACGTAGGTTGCTCCATAATTTTTTTTAAAATGGTACTTATAGTGTTGCCCGATGTAAACCATTGTCATATTCGTAAAGTTTGATGTTTTGGTATGTATTCGTGCCCTGAACCTTTTGTCGTACGAACGCTATTTGTATTGTTTACAGTGACTGGTAAACTGCGACTCAACAAAAAAATGAATTTTACACGTGAAGATTTTCGTAAAATGATTTACTACGATTTTCGAAGTAAATTATCTCAACAACAGTGTTTCGATCGACTTCATTTGGCCTTTGGCAATGAAGCACCAACCCTTCAGACAATTTATAACTGGTACCGAGAATTCCGTTGCGGTCGTAGTTCGCTCAAAGACGAGTTTCATACAGGTCGTCCAAAATCGGCTGTTGTGCCACAAAACATCGATGCTGTCAGAAAACTGATTATGGAAGATCGTCATGTGACCTACCGTGAGATTGAGGCATCTTTGGGCATTTCATCCCACAGCATACATACAATTTTGCATGAACATTTAGCCGTAAAAAAGATTTGCTCTCGTTGGATCCCACATAAATTGACCGATGAACAAAAAATGGCTCGTGTGAGTTGGTGTAAAGAAATGCTCAAGAAATTCAATCGTGGTGCTTCAAAAGACGTTAATAAAATCGTCACTGGTGACGAATCGTGGATATATGCCTATGAGCCCGAAACGAAACAGCAGTCGACTGTATGGGTCTTCCAAAATGAAGATAACCCAACGAAAGTTGTTCGAGCAAGAAGCACTTCGAAGCGAATGGTCGCCTGTTTTTTCGGGAGAAGTGGTCATGTGGCAACCGTTCCACTAGAGGATCGTAAGACCGTCAATTCTGATTGGTATACCACCATTTGTTTGCCCGAAGTGTTTGGTGAAATAAGAAAAAACAACCACCGTCGCAAAATAATTCTTCATCACGATAATGCGAGCTCTCACACATCTTTTCAAACTACTCGATTTTTGACCGGTCAAAACATCGAACTGATGGGTCATCCACCGTACAGTCCTGACCTGGCACCCAATGACTTTTTTTTGTTCCCAAGCGTGAAGAAAAAACTACGTGGTCAACGATTTTCGACACCAGAAGAAGCAGTTGAAGCGTTCAAAACACACGTTTTGGAGATATCAGTTTCGGAGTGGCACGAATGCTATGACAAATGGTTTCATCGAATGCAAAAGTGTATCGATCATCTCGGGGAATATTTTGAAAAACAATAAAACCATTTTCGACAAAAAACAACTGTGTTATATATGTTTTTAAAAAAAATTATGGAGCAACCCTCGTATGTGGAATGTAAACTGTTGTCGAAATGCAATGCATTCAATTGTAACGGTGTGTTCTTCTTTCTGTTTGCACATTCATAAGAACGACGATTTTATCTACCATTCAAAATCGGTTATTGCATGAAAAATGTACGAAAAACCACACTTCTTCTATATATGTGTTAATTGGCATCTTCGAAATCTAGATCTATGTACATATTTGTATTTTTCACTATCTGCCATCATTCGCCGAAAAAGTCTTTAGCCTCCGAAAATTGTGGTGAACAAAATAATGCGTCTGAAAATTGTAGAAACCACCGTAAAAATAATTATTCATCATTTTTAACCTTCAAATAATATGATGGCTGTATAACAACAATATTTAACGGAACTACTGATGTAGAAATATTTGGGTTAACTCATCGTCAAGATCAGTTCAAAAAAATGTATCCATTGTTTTGCATTTTTTTGTACACATTTAATCTGCTCTTTCATCTTATTAACTGATTTTCTTTGAATTCGTTCTTTTTTCTCATTTGTAGAGGGTCGTGTTGAGGTGTCACGCGAAGGTAAATATCTGTCGACATTATCTGGAGCAAAAGTACTCGGGGAATTGGCCATTTTGTATAATTGCCAACGAACCGCAACAATAACGGCAAACACCGATTGTAAACTATGGGCAATTGAACGACAATGCTTCCAAACAATTATGATGCGTACCGGTCTCATTCGGCAAGCCGAATATACCGAATTTTTGCGAAGGTAAGTAACTCAACATTTATGTGTAAGTGATTTTGATTGTTGCCTTTTTGACTGGAATTGTGACGAACATGCATACAAGATGTAGAATGATGTTTCACAATGTAAATTGTTTATTTCACGACAATACATTGGTTAATTAAAGGTTGTCAAATCAAGAAAGAAAACATCAGTCACGAATGAAAGTGAGACCTGTCAATTAAATTATTTTTTTTTGTGTTTGCACGCACGCCAAAACATCTTCAATGACAGATGAAAGTGTGAGTAATCGTCACCGAAAATTGCATTGAAATGAACAAAGAAATTGAAAGTTTTAAATATGATATTTTTTTATTCACCTAACAACTTTTTCCATCAAGAGAAATTCTTGTTTATGGAGTCCAAATTTATGAAAGTGCATTATTTACTGTGTAGAATGTGCCAAGTAATCATTCCGATAGTTACTCTTATGATTCCGATGATCAATTCAACCTTTTCAACCGAACCGCAAAGTTTCTAGAAAAACATTCTTCACTCTCATCCAATCAACAGCTTTGTTTCGACTGTTCTGAAACGAAGCCATTAAAACTTCCAAAAGAATTGATTAATCAATGTGAATTCATACTTCATTTGCGGTATAGTTTCAATAGCGTTAAATTCCAGTGATGAGTGAATATTTCATGCATTTTAATCTAAATCGCTGAGAACTATGTTTGTGGTGGCAACAGCATCGAAAATTTACGATTTTTAAATCAAGTTTCGGGCGAAAGAATTTAACTTGTGGGATTTAGATGAGATGAAAAAAGAAAATCAATTGCTGGTTGATTTTACACACTAATGATTCATTTTACAAGATCTTCAAAAGCACTTTTATGGCTCATGGCGAGCCTTATTCACAGTCTTCCGCACAGTTACATGTGGAGTAATTGTTTGGCCAGAAGCGTGAAACAGCATGAAAAAGACGAAAGGAAGAGAAAAATATTCTTCTCTTTAAAATATATACATCTTTTTTCCATTGAGATTTTGTGTGTCTGTACGATGTTTTTTTTTTCTTCGATCGTTTCGATCATGTTTTACAACAGAAACGCACCCAACACGGAAACTTTCTCTTTTTTCACCGAGTTTTTTCTTCATTCATTCCGTTGACCCCCTTTTAATTGCATTGAAACTTATGCATACATGAAGAAAGAAAAACTGAACCGAACATGGCCAAACCGAAAAATGTCAATGAAACTTGCCACCTTTGGATAAAACCATATCTATGTCGCCCCGGTTTGTTTCCGTTGCGTACGAAAAAAAAAGTAACGCGGTCGAAGTAAACACTGACAGTCAGCTAATTACCCGCTAAGTGTGTTTATTTAATTGTGCGATTCCGACACCGCGGAACGAAAGAAAAACACACCGAACAAGATAAAAAGTGACAAAAACACTCATACACAACAACTGTTGGAGCACATGCTGCGCAAAAAGCCAAATGAATAGAGTGAAATCAATTAATAAATGCAAAAGTGAGAAAATACACATTTCATTTCTTGCAAAATTCATTTCATCTCTGGCAAACAATTGAATTTGCACATTTTTTTTTCTCTTCAAACTCATTGCGATACTGTATTTTGTCTGGTGCTGTCAGTCAGTGAAACGGAAAAGTTTTCAAACAGAATGCCATCCATTTAGAGAATTCGTTTCGCACAATTTAATGTACAAGATTTATTTTTCTCTGTGTTTCGTTCGTTTCTGTCTTTGTACTCTTAATAAATGAAATCTTTATTGGTTTATTCTGGAATATATCGCAAAGCAATTTGATGTTCAGTCACAGGAAATGAAATTGAATTGGATTTACATAGTTTAACGATTTTCAAATGGAAATAATTTTTTTAAAACTTTTTTTTTCTTGTATATTTCACAGTGTACCGATATTCAAGAGTTTTCCCGAAGAAACTCTCATCAAGATTTCCGATGTTTTAGAAGAAACGCATTACAATCAAGGCGATTATATTGTAAGTTCGCATTTGAATTTGTGTGAAATTGAGCGAGGATGATAACGTTTCTTTAAAATGTGTGGTAAATATAGGTTCGGCAAGGTGCTCGCGGCGATACATTTTTCATCATTTCAAAAGGAACGGTTCGTGTCACGATTCGTCAGCCAAATTCACAAGAAGAGAAGTTTATTCGAGTTTTGGGAAAAGGCGATTTCTTTGGCGAAAAAGCGTTGCAAGGGTAAGTGACCACAAGAGTTCATTTTTCAATTCGACATAATTTTCATTCATATTGAATTTATCGATTTCCTTTCTTTATACAAACAGCGATGATTTGCGTACCGCAAATATCATTTGCGATTCAGAAGATGGTGTAACATGTTTGGTCATCGATCGTGAAACATTTAAACAATTGATATCGAATTTGGATGAAATTCGCAATAAATACAATGATGAAAGCACTTTGGAACGCAAAAGGTGAGCTTCAACAATTTATGCGTCTAGTGCACTAAAGAAAATAAATTGATAAAATAAAAAAAAAATTGAAAAATTAATAAATAAAAATGAAATTTATCGATCATTTTTCATGCTTTCATTTTCTGAAGCATTGGTAGGTACAGCGGATAATTGGATATTGCACTTATTTACTTATCAGCATTGTCCATTTGTGTATATTTTAACCGAGACTAATATCTTTCGATTTTTGTTTGCAGAATCAACGAAGAGTTTCGTGATGTACAGTTATCTGATTTACGTGTGTTGTCAACACTTGGTGTTGGTGGTTTCGGTCGCGTTGAATTGGTACAAATTCATTCGGATGGTTCACGTTCGTTTGCATTGAAACAAATGAAGAAGGTACAAATCGTTGAAACCCGTCAACAACAGCACATTATGTCCGAAAAAGAGATCATGTACGAAGCCAATTGCAGTTTCATCGTTAAATTGTTCAAAACGTTCAAGGATCGTAAATATTTGTACATGCTAATGGAAAGTTGCCTTGGCGGTGAACTATGGACCATTTTACGTGATAAAGGTCATTTCGATGATTCAACAACGCGATTCTACACGGCCTGTGTGGTTGAGGCATTTGACTATTTGCATTCAAGAAATATTATTTATCGGTGAGTTTTTACCACCTTTAACATTTTTAAATTTGTGGAAAAAAGAAACAAAAAATAAACAATCTTTCAATTATTTTGTTGCAGTGACTTAAAACCGGAGAATCTTTTGCTTGATATCAATGGTTATGTGAAATTAGTCGATTTTGGATTCGCCAAAAAATTACAAACCAGCCGTAAAACATGGACATTCTGCGGTACACCTGAATACGTTGCACCCGAAATCATTTTGAATCGTGGCCATGATATTAGTGCCGACTATTGGTCACTCGGTGTTTTGATGTTTGAATTGCTCACAGGTAACTACCAAATAAGCTCGAAACCGACCGTAAATATATTTTTATTTTTTCTTGAATAAATTCATTTTAAAGGAACACCACCCTTTACTGGAGCCGACCCAATGTACGTATATATATGATACTATATCAAGACACATCTTTTATTTTTCGATTATTATTCACCTTTTGATAACTATTACAGGCGAACGTACAATATAATTTTGAAAGGAATCGATGCCATTGAATTCCCACGTAATATTACACGCAACGCAACCGCCTTAATTAAGAAATTGTGCCGGGACAATCCAACTGAACGTTTGGGCTATCAACGTGGTGGTATTGGCGAAATTCGAAAGCATAAGTGAGTGCTAAACTTTCCTATGAATATTTCAATTTTCAAAACAAATTTCAACATTTTCATTAAAAACTGACTGTTTCTATCATGCAGATGGTTCGATGGATTCTACTGGGAAGGATTGGTGAATCGCTCATTGACACCGCCGATAATGCCGAGTGTGAGTAGTGCCATAGATACAGCCAATTTCGATGATTACCCACCAGATCCAGACGGACCACCCCCAGACGATGAAACAGATTGGGATAAAGATTTCTAAGCCAAAAACTTGCTTACATTGAATTCAAACAGATCGGCAACTTGGAAAAAACATTTTTATACAAAAAAATCACTGCAATGTTTTATTTAGATAAAATTTAAGGGGAAATTGCCTATTTTCTATAAGCGTTTCAAGTCATTTCGTCGCAACATTGGAATTTTTACTAAAGAGGAAAGAGTTGAAAAAGTTCAGTTAGTTCTTTTGTTTGTATGCAAAGTATATTTTTGGTGATGTATAAAAAAATGGTAGTGCGACATTATTTAGAACGATGTTGCCTGCATCAAACATAAATCAAAATTTTGAAAATTTAAAGGAGAAATTGAATTGTTCATTTTATTATTATTATTATTATTATTTTTATTTTTAAATGCTAGAATAGTCATGTTTGTAACTACAATATTAATAAGTTTACGTTATAATTTCATTTTATTTTTGTAAAATTTTATGAACATTTGATGATGAATATTGCAATTTGACATTTTCTTCTTTTATTTACAAGTTTCTTTTGAAGCAAACAACCTGTTATAAACTAATTATTATTACAATTATAAATAAATCAAATGACACAACTTTTATTCGAAGTTTTCGCATTTATTATTTGGATTTTATTGATTGAAAATATGCATAACCATTCGGACAAGCTTAATGAAATATTTTAGCCATAACAGTAAACTTTCTAATATTGGAGCTTCCTGGCCTTTATTATTGCGCGTTGATACGATTGCTTGACGAGTGAAAAAACCACTGTTGATATGACTACCCAATGAGCCATTTCACTTAAAATGTAGGCATAATGATAATGCCTTCAACAGGCCTAATATTTAATGTTTTTTTATAAAGATAATATGCCTGTGATAGGCATAACTGGTAGGCCTACCTATATGCCACCAAAAATTGTAGTTTTGATAAAAACAATAGATTTGAGTTATTTTGAGTTATTTCGAAACCAAAAAATTCTCTAGAAAATTCTCTAGCATATCAGACATTTTTTCGTTTTTTTTGGAAGTCACTTTTTGAGGCGAAAGTCCCTAGTAAATCGAAAGAATTTTCTTCCCGAAAAACCCTAGCAAATCGGAAAAAAATTTCTCGGAACCAAAGACTCTAGCAAATTGAAAGAATTCTTCTCAGTTTTCTACATTGATGAGCTAAAAAAAAGGTCTTCACTTTTAGAATCAAAAACCCTAGCAAATTCGAATAATTTTCACGAAAAAAAATTTCTCATCCAAATCACAGGAGGGCAGTTGTGTTCTGTAGAAAAAGTGTTGCAAATTTTATATGTCATGTATTGAGCACAAGCATAGTAACTACATGGCCTGTAGAACAAAATCGATAAAAATCCATCCACCCTACAGCACACAGTCGGTATGCAGAAAAGTAAAATTGTGCGTTCATGCTGTATTGGAATTTTATTGAACATCTTTTCTTTTAATCTACGTGAGTGTAAATGATTAAGAAATAAAGAAATTAATATCTGATAAAGTCAATATATACGTATTTTCATAAAAATAGCATAATAAACAATAATATAGATATAAAAACAACAAGTATCGTAAACAAATGCCATCCTTTTCACACAAAAAAAGTTTCCATGGAAACATAAATGATAAGATATCAATGTTCCGGAGCCAAAAACCGTCTTTTAAAAAAAATGAATGTCGCAGAGATTGAACTTTGAACAATTTATAACCAATCAACAATTCGCAAGAGGAATGATGACTTGATTTGGCTTTGATTTTGATTACAGCGAAATAACTGCAGTCAAATTCGAATTATCACCACAAATCATGATGATTGGAGTGCACTCAATGGCCTGATTTTTAAAATGTTCAAGTACTGATTGACTTCGATTTGATTTATAAATATGTCGTCTGTGTTGGCACTTAGTAGCTGAGGAAGAATATTGAATTTCGTGTTCAAATGACGTGTATTTTGAAGAGAACGACGTGTATTTTGTATTTTTGATGAATGAAAGTTTGATTCCTTGAGAATATGTCCTTTTTCGCAGAAAAAATCGTGATTTAAACTAAATTTACAACAAATATAAAGAGGTGTCCTTCAAAATGTGACTATTTCAAATAATTTTGTCATCTATGTTTACATTGTATCTTTAGATTGTTCAAATAAAACCTAATCTCGGTTCGTTCCAAGAGAATCTTCAAAATTTGTGTTCTTTGAAGTGTTTATACATAAAATGTCATAATGAAATAAGATGTGATTGAATAAAAATGAAACTCATTTCAGACATTTAAAAAAATACCTTCCATGTAAGAATCTTATCTTATCTTAATCAAGTTGGTAACACATAAATACAGTTTTATGCAAACATGTCATAAAAATGGCGATAGATAGAATTTTTACTATTTTATGATAAACATGTTTACTATTTGTTTATATTGGTAGTTCAATGAGAAGGTTGCAACTTCCTTTCTACGAAAAACAGAAAACGAAATAAACTGCGAAATATTTATTTGCTTGGAATAAAAGCACTTCGATTTAATAAAGTCGCAATAATATTCAATCAATAAACTCAATAAAAAAAATCTCTCAATGAATCAGAAAATCTGTCGACAATATGCAATGAATTAGATCATTGTTTTCAATTAAAAGTATCTCGGATATCTCAAAATTACACTTATTCTGATTGATTGAGTTCAATTGTTATCGCAAATCTTGCAACTTCTGAGATAAACAATTCAACATCAGTGATTTTATCGATCACTTCAATTTTTTTCGCTGTTTTGTACTTTTCCAGAAAATATCAGATATCGACGGTCACCTGAAACATGTATAAATAATTCAGATTTGTGCGAAGTAGATTTATTCAAGTTTTCAGTGTGAAACGGTTTGGTATCAAAATATAATATACAATTTGTGTAAAAATGGAATTCCAAATTAAGTTGTTCGTAGTGCATTTATTATTTTTGACCATAAATTCAGTTGATTTGATTAATGGTCAGCGACGAAGTTTTTGTTGTCAAGAATATTGCTATGATTCGGACAAAGAAAAAACACAAATTAATTATTTTTCATCGAAGACATCGTATTTCATAGAAAAGCGAAAACAACCAGGCAAAGAATTTTTTGTACCAAGTATGTGTTACATGTCGCTTAAAAATGTTTAACAAAAAGTTTGTTTAAGAACGAATTGCAATGGGTGTGTGATTTTTCACCATATCAATGTTTGTTTCAGATTGTACGCCGGAAAAAATTTGGTTTTATGTCAGACATGGTGCGCGGTTACCAAAAAGTAATCATAGTTTTTCATAATTTTTTTCATTAAAAAGTGAGAGTAATTAAACGCTTTTTTCAATGATTTACAGACAAAGAAATTAAACGTTTGCGAAAATTGGAAAAAGTGAGAGATAAGATTATTAAAAACTATGAGAAGCACAATACACTACCAAAATACGGTGAAATGTGTGATAGCGACTTGAATCTATTGAAAAAATGGAAATGGGATAGGTGTGTTAAATTAAATTAAATTCTCGCTCTTTCTTTGAATCATTGCAATGAATGACTGATTGATTCTTTTATTTTGATAGCAATATTACCAAAGAATATGATGAGCATCTCACAGTACAAGGTAAATATCGTTTCTGCGACATTATTTTTTTTGCGAAGTATATATACTTCGATATTTGAGATCTAAGTGTGTTTTATTTGAACGTGGCTAAATTTTTATTTCAGGATGGAATGAAGTAAAGAAGATTGCGCTGCGATTTAAAGGACTGTTTCCAGATATATTTAAAACTCCTTATGACAAAGAGAAGTACTTATTCCGTTACACAGATGCCGATCGTTCCGAAAGTACTTTTCAAGCATATGTTGATGGTTAGTTATTTAAACGGTTTGCAAGTGTCAGTGAATGGATGATTTGACTGTAATTTTTCAATTAGGTCTCTTTGGCTCCGACTTTGATCCTAAATCAATTGAAGTTCCACCAGGAGAGGAAAATAACAATTTGATCATGGTATGAATACATATTTAAAAAATTGGCATTTATAATTCGAAATATATTCAAATTTAGCAATTCCGTCCTTTTTGAAAATCAAAAACATCAAAATGCCTATAAAACTGAGCAACTTAAACTCAATCATTTCTATTTAAAATTGACCAGACGTTATTTGTTTGTATTCTCTTACCTCTCAGCCATATTTCTTATGTCCCACTGATAAAGAAGAAACGCGTGGAAATCGATCCGAATACAGAAAATACTTGGAATCAAAAATAATGTATCGTTTGGTGAGTGATGTGTCTGAACGACTTGGATTCAAAACTCCGTTGGAACCAGAGGTTGTGTTTGATATGTACGACATGTGTATATATGATCAAGCATGGAATCCTGAGAAAACGAGTGCATGGTGTTCAGCATTCACACCGTCACAAATTTATCATTTAGAGTATCCAGAAGATTTACGTAAATATTACGAAAGTGGCCACGGTCGAGTTGGGAACAGTCGTTTATTGTGCTCTCTAATGAATGATATGTTAACGCATCTTGAAAGTAAAACCGAACCCAAAGCCATTGTCTATCTAACGCATTCATCGAGTTTTCTCTTGCTATTGAGCACGCTCGGTGCGTACAAGGACGCAGCTCCACTGAAAGCCGACAATTATTACAGCATGTCAAATAGAAAGTGGCGTTTAAGCAATATTGCTCCACTTGCATCCAATTTAGCCACAGTTAAATATAATTGCCCCAATGAAATAGAACAAGAGAAAGTTATGTTTTTCCTAAACGAAGAGCCGATTGAGTTTGACTGGTGCAATATGGGCCTATGCGATTGGAAAGATGTAAAAGAAAACTACAAAATTTATACGCAAGTCAACTGTGATGAATATTATTGTTATTCGGGCGCATCAGCTACTGCTATTATCACAAAAGTACTTATCGCTGGGGTGTCCATGAGTTTTATCATTAAATATGCATTCTTCCATTCATAAATCACAATGAATTTAAGCTTCAAAACGCTTCTATTTATGTAATTTTTTCTGTTTGTAACGATTTTTTTCCGCAAGTTAAGATAAAAGACTTAAAATTTGTATGTACTTAAAGTTTTGCCATTTTAAATAAACATTTTAAAGTTAGTGTTAAATTGCACTCATTGGAGTGACCATTTTTAATTATTATTATCACTTGTTCTCTGTTCACTGTAAGATTAATATTTTCTAGGGCTGTAGCCTTCATGAATTTGTTGAAATACTCTCTTTCTCGCAGAAAATGTATTTACTTTTGTCTTCTAACAAAAGTTAAAACGTAGAAGTAGAAGATGATGAAACTGACAAATAAATTGAACGAGCAACGAATGAATTTTTTACTTGGAAAAATTAAACTTAATTGAACATTTAAATATAAGTGAAAAATAGAAGCATCAATACAATGAAACCATGATCAAGTCTTTCCTTTATTCAAAATGTGTCTCGTTACATTAAAATAACAAGCAATTTCAATACAATTTATAAACAATAATGAAAATTAGAATTTCGCACGGAATAGTAGAAAAAAAAAATCATTTAATCCTCTAATGCATCCATTTTTTAGAGGTCATAGCTATTTTTCTAGGATTAATTTAGCGTGAAAATATTTAAAAAATATTCAAAATGCAAAAATCGTCGTCGTTTGTTTTGAAAACGCCATAAACAATAATCTTTTCGTGTACTTCTTATAAACAAAGTTCAATAAACAACTGAATGACATACGCTCGTCAAATGATCGGCTAGTGAAAGAGAAGTTTTAGTGGGATACCTTGAGTATGAGGGGACTTATCTTGTTTTCTTTCAGTCATAAGAAAATCTAATTCGAATATTCTCTGAAACGCGTCATATTTTAGACTAATGTTTACAATTAGGCGCATATCTTGTTTATTTCACAATATTTTCTTACTGACTGAACTCATCTCATTTACAAAAATCATCTTGGATAAACAAAACAACATCGGCATTCAAATTGTTGGTGTAGTTTTCCAGAAAATGATATCAGCCACCTAAAACAGGTATAAATAATTCAGATTTGTGCGAAGTAGATTTATTCAAGTTTTCAGTGTGAAACAGTTTTGTATTGAAATATAAATTGGAATTATTTCGAAAATGGAATTCAAAATTAAGTTTTTCATTGTGCATGTATTACTTTTGACAATAAATTCAGTTGATTTGATTAATGGTCAGCGACGAAGTTTTTGTTGTCAAGAATATTGCTATGATTCGGACAAAGAAAAAACACAAATTAATTATTTTTCATCGAAGACATCGTATTTCATAGAAAAACGAAAAGAACCTGACTCACAATTCGTCGTACCAAGTATGTGTTACATGTCGCTTAAATATGTTTAGCAAAAAGTTTCTTTAAGCACGAATTGGATTGGTGAGTGATTTTTCACCATATCAATGTTTGTTTCAGATTGTACGCCGGAAAAAATTTGGTTTTATGTCAGACATGGTGCTCGGTTACCAACAAGTAAGCAGATCTTTTTATAAAAAAAAATCTATTTTGAAAAAAGTACAAGGGATTAATTCTAAAAATCATTCACAGCGAGAGAAATGAACCGTTTCGTAAACTTGGAGGATTTGAGAGATAAAATTATTGAAAACTATAAGAAGAATACACAACCAAAATATGGTGCGATGTGTGATAGAGACTTGATTCTATTGAAAAAATGGAAATGGAATAGGTGTGTAGTATATTAGATTCTGACTCTTTCTTTACAACAATGACAAATTGATTCTTATATTTTGATAGAAATATTACAACAGAATATGATGAGCATCTCACTGTACAAGGTAACATTTATATTTGCGACAATAATATGATTTGATATTAGAAATAAAAAAATTTCTATTTGAATGTGTTAAAATTTTGAATTTCAGGGTGGAATGAAGTAAAATACATTGCGCAACGATTCAAAGAGTTATTTCCAACCATTTTTAAGACTTCTTATGACAAAGAAAGATACTTATTTCGGTACACAGACACTGATCGTTCCGAAAGTACTTTTCAAGCATATGTTGATGGTGAGTTATTTTGAGTGCTTGCAAATATAGAAACAATGTTTAACTCTAGTGCACATTTTTAATTGAATGATTTTTCAATTAGGTCTCTTTGGCCCAGAGCTTGACACAAAATCAATTGAAGTGCCACCAGGAGAGGAAAATAACAATTTGATCATGGTATGAATAATGTCCGAGTTGAACAATTTCCGAAATCATATTGAATAACAATGATTTATTTACATTATTTTGTGCCTATAGCCATACTATTCATGTCCAACTGATAAAGAAGAAACGCGTGGAAATCGATCCGAATACAGAAAATACTTGGAATCAAAAATAATGTATCGTTTGGTGAGTGATGTGTCTGAACGACTTGGATTCCAAACTCCGTTGGAACCAGAGGCTGTGTTTGATATGTACCACATGTGCATATATGATCAAGCATGGAATCCTGAGAAAACGAGTGCATGGTGTTCAGCATTTACACCATCACAAATTTATCATTTAGAGTATCCAGAAGATCTACGTAAATATTACGAAAGTGGTCATGGTCGTGTTGGGAACAGTCGTTTATTGTGCTCTCTAATGAATGATATGTTAACGCATCTTGAAAGTAAAACCGAACCAAAAGCCATTGTCTATCTAACGCATTCATCGAGTTTCCTCTTGCTATTGAGCACGCTCGGTGCGTACAAGGACGCCGATCCACTGAGAGCCGACAATTATTACAGCATGTCAAATAGAAAGTGGCGTTTAAGCAATATTGCTCCACTTGCATCCAATTTAGCCACAGTTAAATATAATTGCCCCAATGAAATAGAACAAGAGAAAGTTATGTTTTTCCTAAACGAAGAACCGATTGAGTTTGACTGGTGCAATATGGGCCTATGCGATTGGAAAGATGTAAAAGAATACTACAAAATTTATACGCAAGTCAACTGTGATGAATATTATTGTTATTCGGGCGCATCAGCTACTGCTATTATCACAAAAGTACTTATCGCTGTGGTGTCCATGAGTTTTATCATTAAATATGCATTCTTCCATTCATAAATCACTATGAATTTAAGCTTCAAAACGCTTCTATTTATGTAATTTTTTCTGTTTATAACGGATTTTTTCCAGCAAGTTAAGATAAAAGACTTAAAATTTGTATGTACTTAAAGTTTTGTCATTTTAAATAAACATTTTAAAGTTAGTGTTAAATTGCACTCATTGGTGTTTGAGTCGTTTTCTTTATTATCATTATACATCTCGCAGAAAATTACTAACATTGTTTGTAAGATAAGCAAAACAAATAGATTTCTTCTTGATATCACTGCATCATGTTTAAAATGCGCAGTGAAAAAAAACACATCCAAATCTTAAATACGTCAGTCATCTCTTCTCAATTCATGCCGAACAACGTTTCAGTTTTAGACGTCAACAAGATCAGTATTTTTATATGGAAAAGTCATGAATTTTTCAATTTTATTCATATTTATAACGGCATTTATTGTAAAAGGAGAAAAAAAAGATGGATATTGTCATCAATATTGTTATAGTTTTGATTATGTGCGTTCACAAACCTCATTTTTCTCGACAAAAACACCGTATTTCACAATGAGACGCAAAGAAATTGGCAAACAATTTCAAGTGGCAAGTGAGTAATTTTCCATGAAAATGCAATTGGAAGATTTTTTTATCAAAGTTGTTGACTTATTTTCGTTTGAAATTAGATTGTGATCCAGTTAAAATTTGGCTGTATATCCGTCACGGAGCACGCTTACCAAAAGGTTGAAAACATGTTACGCATTTCAATTTGATTGCTACATTGTTTGTTTTTTTTTTGTTTATTCAGCTAAAGAAATGGATCGACTTAGTCAATTGGAAAATTTGAGAACTGAAATTATTGCAAATTACAAAAAAAGCAATTCCACGATTGCATTCGGTGCAATGTGTGAAGCTGACTTGGATTTATTGAGAGAATGGCAATGGAATTGGTGAATAGCTTTTCATTATGGTTTTGATATGTGTACATTGATGTAGAGTGCTCACACATACTATGTTAATAGATATCTTATCTTAATCACTGTGACATTGACATTGATTTACTTTTTACACAGGAATATAACGAAAGAGTATGACGAACACCTTACGACACAAGGTGATAATGAGCAAAACTCAGCTGTGGCTTTACATTAAACTGATAATATTTTTTTTTCGCTTTCGATTTTTTTTAAATAGGGTGGAATGACATCAAATTGATCGCGGCACGATATCGCCAATTTCTTCCAAATATTTTTGAAGATAATTATAACAAACAAAAATATTTATTCCGTTATACAGACGTTCAACGTACCGAAGCAAGTTTTAAAGCTTTTGTCGAAGGTAAATTGCGAAGTTGGTCGATATGCAAGTTCAGCAGTGAATTTCATTGAAATTTTTAATCCTTAGGTCTTTTCGGTTCAAATGCACATCAATATATCAACGTGCCACCTCAAAGTGAGAATGTTAAATTGCTCAAAGTATGAATCAAACTATTGAAATTCAGCATTTGTAACTCATTCAACTCCCCTTTATCTTCAGCCATACAAATTTTGTGCATCAAACGAAGAGAAAATCACCGGCAATCAATCAGAATATCGAAAATATTTGAGATCAAATATCATGACGCAACTGGCGATTGACGTTTCGGAACGACTTGGATTTGGATGTCCCCTAAAAATCACACAAATTCTCGACGTGTATGACATGTGCATATACGAACATGCATGGAATCCGAAAGCCACGAGTGCATGGTGTTCAGCATTTACACCATCGCAAATTCACGAACTTGAATATATAGAGGAACTTCGAAAATACTATGAAAGCGGCTATGGAATTAAGACAAATGAACGATTGGTATGTAGTTTGGTAAACGACATGTTAAATCATATTGGAAATAATGATGAACCAAAGGCGGTGGTATATGTCACACATTCATCCAGTTTACTCTTGTTACTGACTGCTCTCAAGGCATTCAGCGACGCTGATTCACTTCGGGCCAGTAACTATTACAGCATGTCTACACGAAAATGGCGTTTAAGCAATATTGCTCCACTAGCCGCCAATTTCGCCGCTGTGAAATATAATTGCCCAAATGACATTGAACAGGAAAAGGTTCGATTTTTCTTAAATGAAGATCTAATCGAGTTTGACTGGTGCGATAAAGGTTTGTGCAATTGGAGTGATGTGAAGAAAGAGTACGACGATTATATACAAGCAAGTTGTGATGAATACTATTGTAGTTCTAGTAATACGCGGGAATCTCAAAGTGGTTATATGTTTAGCATAGCTCTACTTATATTGGCTTTCATTTCCTGCCTTTTTGTTAGCTTTTCTGTGTAATAAATCGTTGAATTAAGACACGTTTGAAAAAAAAAACTTTTCTTCCTTTATTTTTTACCTTCTTTTTACATCTTGAACATCGTTTTTCAAACAAAGCAAGCATTGTGATGAAATAACTTTTAAAAGGAAAATAAATTGAGTTTTGAATATGATTAAATAATAATGCATTAAATGAGTTTCACTCATTACTTTGGGATGCCACAAGAGATAATAAACTTTTTCTTCCAAAATGATCCTCATCATCAAAGGGATCCCATGTCATTATAGGATTTTTTAGCTATAATAATATATTTTGAGATTGATCGTTTGAATAAATTATTCAGAATATCTTCCTTTCAAGTCATCCACAGAATTGTTTCCTTAAAAAAATTCGCTTGAATATGTTTTAGGCAATAAACTACAAATCAATTTTTATAGACTTGAATGCGTCCCATCACTGATGGATATACGACTCCAGTCTTCTGGATATATGACAGTACAGCCTCTTGAATCGTAGTATTTAGGTAATTTGATTGTAAGCCCTATAAATCGAAATAAAAATCAGTGATTTATTCAATATTACACCTCAAAATTTCGGCACTTACATGAAACATAGTGAAACCATCACCGCCCTCATATACGAATGATGAAACAATAACGCCATATACATGATTTGGCTCGAGATCCTGATAAATCGGAACTTGGCAGCTTGAACATAGAACTTTTATAGATTCAACTCGATTACAAGATGTCCTTGTTATATTGTAAACCACGCGTAAGCCAGAAACTTGTAAAAATTCTCCTGGTGGACTGACTTCGGTGTACCTGTATTTTAACAGTTAAATTAACAGTTAACATAACAGTTAAATTAACAGTTTATTAATTTTAACATGAATACAGTAAATTACCTTTTAACTGAATGCTCAAGTACCTGTCGCAACATATATCCCGTTATGTTGACCACCACCAATCGGTTTTCATACGGAAGGATTGTACCCAGATCGAATTGTGTTAAATTGCCAATTTTGGCCGATGCTCGTATGTCACCGCTTGCTACGAGCGCTATTGGTGCATCTGTAAGATCTGCTCCAATATGTTGCCTTATTCTTGTATTTACAACAGCATCGGTAATCAAATTGCCTACATTACATTCGGTAATTCGGCAACTCCAACCATCCAAACGCACTTTTGTCACGCCAATCACTTTCTCCAAAATTTCCTCCACTTGTGGCCTATAAACATTCTCTAGCTCAACTACTTCGGGATCTTGTGGTATCGTGCTGTCGAGTAAAATTGGTTGACCACTCCAACTCATGACATTTCCACCATCGTCAAACTGTAAAAGGGGTGTTTGGAATTTATATATATCTTTTTAACATTTGGCCGAAAGTTCATGTTAAAATATTCGTTTCACTCACTTTTAGTCTTAAAATTCCCATGTATTTGGTAAATGCGTATGCCTGAACGACTGGCACTTTCTTTCCGCTGTCTTGAACCACAATTGTCGGATATGGACCTTCAATTTTCTCTATATCCGGTTGCCAGCCGGAATACAAAAATGTATGTGTGTGACCACCAACAACAACATCAACAAGTGGACAATTTTTGGCAATCTGCTTATCCACTTCGTAGCCTGAGTGTCCCAATGCAATTATGATTTTCACACCAACATTATTCAGTGCTTCTGCTTCTTTGCTATTATGAATCAGTCATGAATTAAAGAATCTCGAAATAAGCAGTTGCATTTTGTGTACACTCACTTGATTGCATCGATTTCAGAAATAAATTCAACATCATTTTTCATTGCAAGACTTTTTGTTTCTGGCGTTAAGTAGCCAATGACACCAACTTTGTGTCCTTCCACATTGAAAACGATGCATTTTTTCAACGAACCAGTTTGCCATAACGGGTGATCGTCTTTGTTATTTATATTTGCCGCAAGCACTGGAAATTTAACTTCTTTCAAAAACGGTTCAAGACCTTCGACACCCAAATCAAACTCATGATTCCCAAGACTCTGGTAAATTGAAAAAACAAAATCAATAATAATTTTTATTTAGTCACTTAGCTACTCACCATTGCATCCGGTTTGAGAATATTCATAAATTCGGACGAAATTTTATGTTTAAATATCGAAAACCATGGTGTACCAGCGTACGTGTCTCCGGCTAATAAATATTTAAAATCATTTAAATGTGATTCCAAAAATACCACTCAAATCTGTGTGCAAATACCATTTAAATATAAAACGGGCGGACCGCCAGTTTCGGCTTCTGCACGGAATGCTTTAACCAAATGTGATACACGCGCAAATCCGCCGTAACATTTATTTGCTTGAGCATCGTAAGTTTGACATTTTCCAGTTGATGCATCACTTTGTTCAAAATGCGCGTGCATATCATTATTGTGCAATATTATCAAGTCTAATGATTCATTTTCGATTGGCAATGTCAAAACACACGACGATGATAATAACGCAAACACAACTACGTCAATCGACAACCGATAATAGACAAACATAATCGCTTTTAAGAGACGTCGCAGGTCACGACTTCTAATATAAATTAAAACAATCGGGGAATTTTATTGGCACGAAGCAAGCAATCACAAATGCTGCAGAATAAACGTTAGTTTTATAAAATGGTACCTATCACTTCAGAATCACTAACATCAATGTGAGAATAAATAAAACACTCAATTCAATGAACACTTGCAAATTTTACATTTATTCATGAAGTCTATTTGTTTGGTTTTCGATTGTTCGAAAACTGTTCACAATTTTATTTGTAATGAATACAGTTTATTCATTTATGATGAATTCATTCACGTTCTTAAACAATCACCTTGAATTTTGAAATCTTTACATTATCATTTATTAAACACGACTAAAAGGAAAAACAGTAAAAGCGCTTTATATTTATAATCGCCCGTGCCATTAACTGAACACAAGTTAATCAACTCATAAAAAAGTGGTGTGTATGAATTGGCGACATTGAAAAAAAAAACATTAGTTAATTGGTGATTTGCGATAAGAAGCATCCTGCCGGAGAAACAACAACAAAAACAATCGTTTTGGTATTTTTACGTGTGAGCACTTAAATGCTCAAGCGGTTAATAACTTCTTGACCGAAAAAAAAATCCACTCAAAATAATATAGACACTTGAATTTATCTAACGTGTAAATTTAAAACTCTCTTCCTGTACTTAATATTACGCCAATCTGTCGATTTTCTATATAAATTATGTGACTATACCATTTTACGCGAGTTTCAATTTCAGATTTCATGTCAAAATTACAAAGCAAATAAATAAATTATTTTGGCCGAAAATCGATGATTTGAGATTTTATATCGAAAACAATTACACAACCACTTTCACCTTATGCTATTTATTCACAAGTCGTTTTCGCGCACCGTCCATTTCAATATTTGTTCACTCGGTCGTATTTTCCGAATATTTTATTTCGACGAATCTTACATGCATATAATTTTTGTCAATAATGATTCTTATTCAATTGACACAGTCAAATTTTTTAAAAACAGACAAACATATTAATCATAAAATGACACCATTTATGGTCATCAGGGGTCAGGGGACAGGCAAAAATATATTAACATAACATCAATAATTTTGCAAGTATTCAAGTGCACACGAAAAATTATTCCAAAAAGTAATCTTTTATTGATAAACTTCTTTGATCAATGTGTAGAGTCATCATGAGTTGTGTTTGCTTTTTTAAGATGTGAGAATATAAGAGGAATTAAACATTCAGCGAAAGAGAATTCTCTTAGAGAACATTCGCTAAATTTTAATCTATATGGCCACTTTTGTTTCGAACTTACCTACAGAAGTTTATTGTGTATATGCTTACTTCATTTACATTTACGATGTGACATATTCATATATGAAACCTCCTTCACTTGCTCACAGAAATTCCCGTTAGTGAAAGCAAGAGATGAAATGCGACATACTGTTTTTGCTCTAAACATCTTATATTTACAGTTTTTAATGCAAATAATTACATTCGCCTGAAAGTTAAACCAGTCAAACAGTCTTTTATCTACACCGCTGACTATATGAATGATCTTTACTAATGAGTTTTCAAATATATTTACATTTATATTAAGAATATGAACAAATAAGTCAAAAGAGTAAACTAAAACAAGCAAAATCGCCAGAAAAAACTAACTCCTTTGTATAACAAAAGCAAAACGATAAAATTTGAAATTTTCAATTAAATTCCACAATATTTAGTTGCGATGTTGACACAAAGATGGCACTGCATGGAACGCTTGAGTGTAAAATTTTGATTTAAACTAAAAAGACTATTGGAAAATGAGTGAAAATGTATTGTTTAAATTGAAAAATTAAAAAAACGTTTCACCACGTGTATTTTCTATCTTTTATTCGATGCTATACAATTTGACAAAAATACATTAAACCAGAAAAAAAAATAAAACAAATAAATTTGTACAAAGTAAAAACTTTTACGTCTTTACAAAATCGCAAAATGTTTATTCGTAAAATCGTAAAAGCGAGCATAATTTATAAATATAGAAATGCAATAGAATGAAGTAATCAAAACAAACGTAAAAATAGAGAAAGAGAGAAAGAGATAGAACGAAGGAGAGCGAGAAATGCAGCGTTGAATGCATCGTCATCGTTACAAACCACGTTGTTTTCGTTTGTACGATGAACGTGTGTTGTGTATAGATATATTTTGTTCATCCATTAAAATCGGAAATTGAAATAGAGCGAGATAGCGAATACAGTGTACGTGAGTGTCCGCATGTTTTGGTGCATCGAAACGTGTTCCCATGTGTGTTGTGCTATACGCTGTCCCGTATCGTTGTAAACGAATTTGATGCATGCGTGTAGTAAATCCATTTGAGCGTAAAAAGAAATAATGTGCATTGCATGTTTTGACGCATAGTCCACATTGCGCCGTATTATATCAATAGATCGAGCGAGAGAGAGAGAGAGAAGGCAACATCAAACAAGCATGGGAACCTCGTGTTTTATTTACACTCTGCCTTCGGGTCTCCGTAGTAAATATGCAATTGAATGTGGACGCAACTGTGGTCTCTCGAATACATCATAACATACACGATACACGTGTATTATGTTTCCCATTTGTATTGGTATTTGTGTTTTGCGACGCATTTCGTTCGTTCGTTCATTCTCGAGCCCAACTGAACGCGAGCAATGTTTACAAAATTGAATAAAAAGGCGAATGCATTGTGCGCACCCAATGCAGTATACTATGCTATTCAGTGTGTGTGTCTGTGTCTCTTTTCCATGCGGTTGCAGTGTGTGTGAGCCAACCGAAAATATATATATTTAAAAAATATTCTCTATAACATATATGCATATCGTATATCGCATGGTATGCAGCGTGATATGCGCTTTAACCATCATCATTTTTCATTTGCTCTCACTCTCTGCTCCATGCGCCATTTCCAACATTGTGCATGTATGCACAAAATCGTATACTGGTGTGGTGATCCATGTGCACGCAAACGCTCGAGCACTCAAACGTGCATGTGGTGGAATACTACGAAGTTTATATTTTGATATCGATTATGAATGAAAATTTTTATAGTAAATTCGAGAGATGTGAAGGAGCGGATGTGCGGGCGCTCATTTGCGCTTTTACAGCATGCTATGCATTGGGCATGGCCATTGAAATATCTATATATATATATATCTATAGACGTATACGACGGAGCGAATACAAAATAACAAAACAATTGGAATGTGTAATGCAAATTGAGTGAGTGAACGCGCGCTCGGTTTGCAATACTACTAATATGTCGATGTGGTGGATGAAAAAACAGAATCATCTAGTGAGTGCACCGTATAATTGCGTTGCGCTCGTACCAAGCAAGCTATAAAACTGAAAGACGAAAACAACAACAACGTCAGCGACAACAACGGCAACGACAACAGTAACACAACAAAATGCAAAAAATAAACAACCAGCATTCACAGCCAGCAATAAAATTATAAATGACTTAGACAAAAGATGAAATGACACGAATGCAGATATTTTTATGTGTGTTACACTACATTATTCGGGTTGTTGTTGCAGTTTCGACGGAGTTTTTTTTTTCACTTGTTTTTATTGTTTTGCTGTTGTTGTTGCTTTTCCTTTTCTCTTTTAATATAATTCTCGGTCGAAATAGCATTGATTCAGTGGTTGGTGCTGCCGTTGCGGTTGTTTTTGTTTTGCATTTTCATTTTGTTGTTTACTTCTCTCGATACAATTTTGTATGTTTTGCTTACGAATGCACTGGATTGCTGTTGTTGCTGCTGCTGCCGTTGTTGTTATTACTTCTCATTGGACGAATGAATCATGGCAACGTGATGTGTACGCAACGTGTGAGTGGGAGAGTAAAAAAAAACACAAGACTGGGGTCTCAACAAAAAGGGATTATATGAAAATGAATAATTGCGTACATTTTTCGTCGATTCTGTTTTCGTTGTTTGTATCGATATAGTGCAGCTGTCGTTCTTTACTAATGCCTTTTGATTCTTTAACTTTATTTTTCTTCTCATTCGGTGCCATTTTTCACGATGATTTCTTCTATTATTATTTTTTGACTCAAGTTTAAGCTATAAAATTCTATAGCGCGATGGTAAATATCTCTCTGTGGTGCTTTTTTTATTATTTGCGTCATATTTTCATGCATTTTTGTTTGTTTTGTCTCTGGAGAGTGGCGGCTATCTTTTAACTTACATTATTTGTCTCTCTCTCGTTTTTCATTCAATTTTTTTTTTATTTGTTTTGTTTTCAAAAGTTTGTTCCCCAATTTGTTCGGTGCCCAAATCCAAATTATACCTGTATATCGCACATCTTCAAGTTTAAACAGTTCAACAGGGAGTTTTTTTATATTCATCTGTCGTACGCTCTATCTTTTTTACATCATTCGTCTCCTTTCCTATTCTTTTCTTCTCCATCCACTTGCAAAGAAAACCATTTACATGAAGAATAAAAATACAAAAAAAAAGATGACACCTACATATAGTCTCCCCGTAGTCATAATGATGAAATAAGCGGACAACGTATGGTTTTTCGCGATGAAGAATTTCGATTCGTGTCGTTTCGTTCAGCAGATGTAATGATGATTTTCGACAGTTAGTCGAACACTTGCCGTTCTTTTTTCTCGTCTTTTTTTCTCTTATCTTACCACGATTATGTTCATTCAGTATCTTGTGTTTGTCTTACGTACGCTGATCACGTTTCCAATTTTTGGCATGGCGCACATTTATTCTAATTGGCAAACGAAAGACTTCTGGTTATAGCCAGATGTTGCTTGTTCGACAAAGAAGAACAATATATGTGTATAATATGAATTGTTGTCGCCATATTCAACGATGAAAACAGATGAAACGTATACAGAAAATTCAGTCCATCTTTCAAATTTCCATGCCATGCTCTTTGGATTATAATGTGATGTTGTTTTGTTGTTCGTCTTTTTTTTTGTCGATGTAAGTGTGTGAATTGCATGAATAAGCGCGAAACACGCAACGGACCGAGAAGGAATCCAATGTTATCCATGTGAAAAATTGCAATAATTCGATTTTCTTGATAATCACTTTTCGAGCCAACTGTTCATTCATATGCACATAGCAAAACAAAAACGACGACCACAATGACGATGACTCAAAACAGCTTGTCATCACACAAACAGAACGAATGAGACAAACGGGCGGGCGCGGACGCGGGCGAGTGAGCGCTCACGCGCGCTCTAATCCGTTACGATGTATGGTTAGCAAATGATGATGATGATGTTTTGTTTTTGCCTGTTTGGCATGCATGTTTTTCTCGTTTCCATTCATTCGTTCATTGAGCCGGATTCCGAATATACTTGTTTCTATATTTATATTTCATGATTGCAAGGGCCTATATATTCATATTTTTGCTCGCTCTCTCTCCCTCTCTCTGCATCTCTTTTACTCTTCGTATTTCCGATCTAATGTGAATGCAAGATAGAGAGCGATGGGCACGCGTGCATATTGGACTTTCATCATTCACACATTTTCGTTCTGTATATTGCGCTTTTTGTGTTAACGTTTTCTCTTTCGCACCAAACATTTTCAAACTTCAATTCTCATTCACTTATTCATTTTATCTTTCCTCGTGGTCTTTTTCTTTTTCTTTTGCTTAGCAGCGCGATGCATGCAATCGACGACGACGACAACAACAACGTTGATCGTGCAAACCAAAAACACAAATACCTGCACGCAATCTGTCTGTGAACAAGAACTCGCTGTCATGGATTTGGCTGGTTAATTGTGCAAACGAGAATATGCTAACGCTAGAGAGATTTAGAGAACAAGTTCGTTGTATACTTGTATGATTGTATGTGTGTGTGTGTGGTGTGAATGACTGCTCAGTTTTTCAAACAAACCGCCGAAATCCAATTTTCTGTCATTAATATTGTTGTTTTCCATCTTATTCACATTCGATTCAATAACAAAACATTCATATTCATCAAAGAAGCGAAAAAATAAAAACAAACAAACAACACAGCACAGTTTTGAGTGCTAAATGCTGGCAAGATATAAACGAACTATAATAATAATTCCCATATAAAGATAGAAGCGCGAAACGTGTACTTTCCATACCAGCAGAAGTTGTAATTTGTGCTAAATCATACACATCGAGCAGATAGAGAGAAGGAAAAAATGGTTGACTCATGTTGAGTACATACAAAATCACGCACAAAAATTACAAGAATAAGAAATCCAAGACAACGACTCGACCGAGAAGCGAACGAATAAATAAAAAAAAAATTGTATTGAGAATAACGACAACAACAACATCAAAGGCAACAGCAACGAGCATTCATAGACGCGGCTGTAGATTCTAAGAGGCAAAAGCAAAAGCTGAGAAAAAAAAAACAACAACGACGAAGAAAACAGCAAAAGACGACGAGCAAAATAAAAGAAGAGAAAAAAAAACACGGATTCAAATGTACGCAGACGCTGTTCACAAGACTTCTACCCAAACAAAAATACAAAAACATACACACACCCAGTCTCAGTCAGTCAAGTACATGTTGGACACGAGCGCTGAAACGCAAGAGCGTTGAACAGAAAGTCAACGCCACCGTTGTCGTTGTTGTTGTTGTTATTGTCGTCGTCGTCGTTCATCCATCCAATTTACACACACTCAGTGAGCGAGAGAGAGCGCAAACAGCAAAACCAGACAGGCATTCATAAGTTTATATTTTTGGTGCTGATCGTATAAGCGCGTCCGCCTGTATGTGTTTGTTTATGCGATGTGGTATGCACATGTATGCGTACGTATTTTTGTTATTCCCGTAATTTTGTATTTCTTTCTCACCATATATATATATCCGAAATGGTTTTTCCCATTGCCCGCAGACTATACACAACTAAAATAAAAGAGCCCAAGTCTTGCGTCTCTGTTACGCTTCCAATTGGCGCGCACTTTTCCACACAAGAAAAAAACGTCCATTGATTTGATTGTGTGCAAGTGTGTATGTGTGGTGTGTGTTTTTTTTACTCTCTTCAACGTTTTATGCCTGATCACTATTATGCTATACTGCGAGCAGTTTGCTGCTGCTGCTGATGAGAATCCAAAATGGTCGACGACGTCGCCGTCGTGCTACATAACATTCAGTCAGAAGACGTGTACAGTATTGTTCGCGCACCAAAACGAACACACCAAAAACAATTCGTATCACACAAAAAAAAAGTTTAATTCATTGAAATTTTATTGCTAAAACAACAACAACAACTCCCAAATATTTTGCAAAGAAAGAAGAGTGTAAAAATTCGTTAAAATCTAATTTAAATATTTATTTATAAAAAAAACAAGAGAAAAAATATGTGTTTTGTGTAAATTGTTACATTTTTTGATTGCACGTTGAACAAGTACGAGAGAAAAATTCATAGTTGGAATGCCAGCCCGCAACGCATTGGATTTGAAAGTAATTTATTTTTATTTTTGATCCAAATATCCATGATATTATTAAGATTTGTGATTTGTTTGTATGGTGTAGTGTATTTTAAATTAAATTGCGTTTGGCAGAGAAATGAATTCGCAAATAGCGCCAATATTCATCTGCCCAAATTGTACCATCGAAGCGATTATTTATTTAAAATTTGGTTTATTTTCTTCGATTATTTCATCCAATTTTTATTATCGTTTATTCTGATTTATTTAAAGAAATGATAACTTTTGTTGCGGAAAATGAGGTTAAAAGTGAAATAAAAATCAAAACAAAAAGAAAATGAATGCAGTGCGTGTAAGCACGTTTTAGAGCGCCACTCAATTTTTATGATTGGGTGTGTGTACGATGTACGAGTGTGGAAACGAGATAGAATGACATGTGTAAAAATAGACGCAGTGATTTGAACAGAGATTAAATTCGTAAATCTGTTCCGGGGGTGTAAATTTATTATTATTCGAGTTCAAAATCGCCGAAAGACAAACATATTTTACAAATTATAAAAATAAGATATGATTTTTTTTTCTCCATCCGTGTGTTTGTGTATTTCGCTTGCATTAAAACTACCGATTTAGATGATTTTGATTTTGTCTTTGATGCTGATTCTTTTTTCTTTTTTTCTTCTTAAGAATTTAATGTTGCGTATGATGCAACATTGTATGGTGTGCGATGCAATATAGTGTGGTGTGCAGGCCGTGATTATTTTTGTCACGGTTTCACTTTATGAAGTACCTTGTTGCGTTGTTTTCGATGTCACGCTTTTATGCGATTTCATTTCTCTCGTAAATCGTTTTTGGTTCTTTCGTGTTTGTTTGTTTTTTATTTCTTCTTTGGAACCGATTAAACTTAGCTAAACTCTGATATAGTTATGTGTATGTGTGCTTATAATATTATACAATCGAACTTTGGTCACATGTCACCATTAATGGTGGAATTAAATTTGCGCTTAACATTCATTCATTTTGGCCATTTGGTTTTTAGCGAACTATTTGCATAATTATTGCGTGTTAAATTATCTAGTGGTAGTGGTTGGTGATGATGTAGCGTGTGCTGAGTGGCATGCGAGGAAAGATGAGAGAGAGAAAGAGGACGAGAGAATTCGTTCGTTCGGTCGAAAAACTTCTAATGCCACAAAATTCTATTGTATAACATTTGGCATATACAGAATATAGCCCATCTGATGTGATATTCTACGCCGAATATAAATTAATGCCATACAAAAAACAACAACAATATTTGTAATATAATTCGTTGTTTTCTCGATTTCGTTTTGCTCACCGTATTCTATTCGTTCTGTATTTTCGATTTTATTCTTGTCTACTTTAATTCGTGTAGTTGTGGTGTATTATGTGCGTGATTCGTATATATTTCTATAAAAGGAGTTATAGTGAGACTCGTGTGTGAATTTTGTTTTGGCTGCTACCAATTCTCTTTTTTTTTCTTGTTCGTCTTCTTCTTCTGGTGCTGCTCTATGCGGCGCTGCTATGTTTTTATCGCTGCCGTCACTACCACCAAAGTCGCACCATTCCACTCTATCTAGGTATAACTTTTTTTCTTGTATTCATCGTCGTCGTCGTCTTCTTCATCGTCTAATTGTATTGTCCATTCTTGATATATGCTATATACAATTTCTAGTGCTATTGCTTTTTTACTCTTGACTGTCGCGGTGGTGTGTTTTATTCAGGGCATTGAAAATGGCACACACAATACACACCCAATTCCAATCCATATAATTCTATATCTATATATCCATCATGCATATATGCTATGGCTCATGATCTCAATGCTATATCTATGCATGAAATGATATAAGATGCGCGCAACATACAGAGAGTGCCAAAGCAGCTACACAAAAAACGTACTACGATGCTTTAAAAAAAGACTCAATATGGGGACTGAGAGACAGAGCCAAGGGGCAACTTTCCAATATAGGCCATAATTTTGTCGTAAAACAATTTTACAAAAATTACATCAATCATCACAACAAGACACACAAACACACACATACCACTTTTGCGCAAAAATTTCTCACACCAATATTCCAAGTGAGAGAGAGATCGAGAGAGGGAGAGAGAGAGAGAAAGACAATGATGACGACGAAAAAGAAGAAGAAGAGAGAAAAATGTGTGTAGTACGACATCCTAATTGTATAGAGAAAACCACGTTAACGTGGATACTACAAATACAACTGCTTTTACGTTGTATGAACAATACACGAGACAACATGTACTTGTACCACTCTATATCTAGCTATCTATAACTACGTATAGACTTGTGACCATAGTCTGAATACTGCTGCTTGCGCTAGACTCGAATCGCGCGCGCGATTCACATCGATGCAAACACACACATACGATAACACAACACACATAGAGTTCCGTCGTACTGCAAGCATGAGAGAGTTGTTTTTGTTTTTTTTTTTTTCATTCTTGTCGTCGTCGACGATGTTGTTGTAGGTTTTTTTCTGTATTTTGCTTCAGCTTTATTTTGCTGAACGAACTCTGTTATCTCTCGACGGCCGCGTGCACGAGGGCGAGTCAGTGTATAAGTCAGTGCCTATACTATAGTTCGTTATGTGTAAAACGCGCGCGTTTTCGCAATAACATACTAAACGAGCGAGCGTGTTAGTGTTTGAAACGTAAAATCGTCGTGGCGCATCGTGTTGATTAAGCGTTTATAGTAAAAACCAAACCGTAGTTAAAACGTGCATAGAGCGTGTTATTGCATACATGTACATACGTATATACATAGCATGCGCGAGCTCTTACAATCCCTTCAATCCGACTCTTGGCCGTACGAGAGTTTTAATGCGCGTTTTAATACAAAACGTTGACGTTACGAATTGGACTATGGGTTGTTAACTACGCCACAATCAAAACACTGTTACTTTTTTTTTTATCAAACTCGTATCACAACATATTTTTGTGCGCTGAAAAATTTCAGATTGAAACGACGAAAAACGGGAAATATCAAATCACACATCTGTTTCTTTTCTCTCGAGTAAGTGAACCGTATTTTTTTTGTTTCTATTTGTGAATGGAGAGTGAATTTATCAAAATGAAAGATAAATCTGTTAAAAAACAAATAGTTATGTTTTCATTTATTGATGTCATAGTTGTAATTTTTTTGTGTGTCAAATGCAACGAGTGTGTGCAATGTGCTGATGAAATTACATCAGTGAATTTGTTTTGGTTGTTGTTTTTTTTTTTCTTTTGTTGTTTTCATCTACATCTTAAGTGAATGTCATGTTTTTCTTTTTGTTTGCATATTTTGCGATGTGATTCAAATTGTAATTTGAATGCAAAAATGAGAAATTGGTCGTCGGTCATTTTGACGCCGTGAATGCGCGCGACAATGAATCAATCAATTGAGAGCAAATTTATTTTTGTCAAATACAAAAAAAAAACAAATTCATCATCGCAATATAAATTGCATCAACCACTCACAAAAATGTAAATAGAGAATGTGAGACAGAGAACAAGTGTAAATAAAGAAAACGGTCCAAGAATAAAAATCGAGACGTACTTCGAAAAATGAGACACACTGAAATGTGCGACGGTGACGATGACGACGACGACGACAGCGACGATGTCGCCGTTTTAAAAATAAGATTTTGTCTAATCTTGTCCCGAGAGAGGGGGGAGAAAAACAAATTCTCTATGCTCTATGGTAATGTGCATTTGGCGAACACAAATGCGCATTTCATCGTCAGTTATTTATCGCAACAGCGAATAGATTCGTTCAAGCGAAAGATGAACCAAGAAAAAACTACGAACATGAAATATATGTAGAGCACGACACAGGAGCGCACGGCTGACAAAATAAAAATAAAAAGATAAAATAAACAGTGAATGTCTAAAATGAAGTAGCAACAATAGCGCAACAGCGACAACACAAAATCGAATAGCCAAAATAGAATAGTGCTAATCTTGCATATTTTCCTTGGTCTATTCACACCGAGAAGAGAACAAAACGTCGCCAGAAAGAAAGAGAAATTGAAAAGGGAATCCACGACAACGACGATCACAACAACAAGAGCAACACAATCGACGAATAGAGTAATTCATTTGTTAGATCAGTTCAAAGACATCTCTCGCGCTTTTAATTTTGTTTCGTGTGTGCTTTTTTTTATTCTTCTCTCGAATGAAAATAAATTCCAACACATCACAAGTATTGGTTGCTGAACTGTTGCTGCTTGAAATGTGCCAAAACAAATTCAAATCCAATTTGTAACGACAAATTCTTGTCTATTTTGCAGTTAATTCGCCCAAAACATAATTTAAATGAAAGAGAGACGATCAAAAATATATAATCGAAAAATTCACGGTGTCTTCCCAAACCGAAAACGCATTGCAACACAAAAATTTGTTTCAACAGAATTGAGTTGCGTTTTCAAGAAAATTTCGATTAAGATGTGTAGTTAAAAGAGAGCAAGCAAGCATGCGAACGATAAAGAGAGAAATTTCCGTCAAATTTCCCATCCACCATTCGATTTCCGAAGAATGTTTCAATTTCGTGGTTAATTTGTTTACATGAATTGTTGTAGTAACACAAATACATTTCCAAACGTGCACCGAATTCAATGCTAGTAATAATCGATTGGATATAATATAATAATGTAATAAGTGAAACGATCTATATGTTGATTTATTTTCGATTTTTTTTTCTCTTTGTAATAATATTCACTTCAATGTTAGAGAGAAAAAAATAATATTACTGGGCCGCGTTTTTCAGGCTGTTTCCATTAACATTATTAGAGTATTAGGTTTCGGTTGATTTTGTTGGGTCTTTTCTTCTTTTTTTGTTTGATGTTGCGGCTGACATACAAGTGATAAAATATAATTTGGATCAATACGCGTACGTAGATGAATGAAATTTGAGCTCATTTTCAATTTTTCACCAATCACCGTCGTTTGATGAATTTCACCATTAATGCTTAAAAAAAACGATCGAAAAAGAGGGAGAGAGAAACAAAAACA